GCAATTCATCATGTAACGAACACAGGTTCCTTTATGACATTAACAATGATCGTGGGATTTCTATTATTCAAATTACAGATGTTTGTTATCACTACAATCTAACGATATTCAAAACTGCTGGCACAAATATAAACAAATAAATACATTCCCTACCCACTGTTAGAAATTGTAGTGTATAGAGTTGAACATTATAGAAAGTAACTGAATATCGTAAAGCTGTGCGTAAAATTGTAAGAAATTGGTTAGACTCCATTTTATAGAATAAGAATTCCAAGCCAAGGGCAAAGCGAATAAAGAAAAATGAAGTAGTAATACTTCTCTACGTATCAAAGATACATTTGTTTATGGTGATCAATGATATATCAGTTTTTGATCATTCTATTTACAACAGAAAATTTACGGAACTACGAGGGACAATTCCACTTCTGTATTGACGGAGCAAGGAGAAAGCACGAGCTTCTATACATCGATCCCGAAGTCAAAACAGAATCTGTGTAAAAACTTGCAGCTGGGATTATGATGTGTGCCTGATCTGTCATGATTCTGTAGTAAAAAGTGACCCAATCGTCGGAACTGGTTCTTTTGTTTTAAGGGAATTTGATATTATACAGGTAAGAAAAATCTTTTCAGAACTTTATGTCTATGTTTTGAAATATCCTTTTTAATTTAAAGTAGGTGATAGACCAGATGAAAATATTTTACACTTATTTAAACAGAACTGGGGAATAAATAGCGTTTAGCTTATACAAAAAAAGTTATGTCATTATTTTATCCATGCAATATGAGCATTATAGAAACGAGAAGCATTTTCTTGAAATTACGTCTGTCTGTTTGATCATCAAAGAAAGACACGAAATTGTTATCAAATATATCTCAAATTAAGCATCAATAAAACGCGCATTCATTCAAAGTGGGGTTTTTTTCAGATTACAAAAAATCAACATTGTGATATAAAGGATTTTGAAACAAAGAAAAGAAATTCTAAGGAATAAAAAAATAAAGAACTTATGTTCTTTTTCACTTTTGCTTAGCCATGATCAGAATGTGTTTTCTATTCCTTTATTAATTCGAGATATATATATAGAGAGAGAGAGAGAGAATCAAAAGCAGATTTTAAAATCCCCAATTTAACGTTAGAAGTAACTAGAAAACAAAACATTCTGAACAACGAGACTTCAGACTCGGGTTTACAGGACTACAGGCTCTGTGATGGTTTCTGTGTATGTCATGATTGTACACCAAAATTGGAAAACCTTCGCGTATCTCTTCATCAAATTTTCAAAATCTAGGGAGTTTAGGCTCACCTTATAAAGGTATTCTCAATATGCAAATGCTTCCAAAATGAATATCGTAGAATGATGTAGTTGATCATGTAAGATTTATCAGAAAATTCTGTCGTAAAGTTTAGAGTATACATGTACTTTCAAGCAGAGAAATCGATGGAATAGATATATTTTCTTTGAAATGCAAGCGAACCACAAATATTTAAGATTAAACATGGGATGCCTCGTGGTTGATTGTAGTGCTTCTATAAATCTATGGTAATGTGCTCTTTAGAAATAAAGGCTTTACGCTGATTAATTGTTCAAAATCCGCTTTAAAGATTTTTTTTTACAATATTGAGTCTAAACATATCATTCCATAGAAAAAAGATGTAAGTAAAAACAACCATTTTCAATGGGCAACAGCACAGTGGTTAACAATGGTACCTGCAGTTGTATTTTGAAATTGTATGTTGAACACAGGAAGTACTCTATGGTTAAAAAATACACTTCTCTAGGGTAATAGTAAAATCCTTTCATAGAGCATGCATAAATGGTAAATAAAGGTAGAGAAAATGGTATTTTATTGTCAATATCGCCTTTCACATTAAAGAATATTTCCTGTTTTACAACCCCATCGCAACTCGCGGCGTCAGAATAACATTGAATAGTCAATGAAGACTCTGAAATCCATGGCTTTTTTCAATGTCGAGTGACGAGTGATGTTTTTCAGAAGTGCTCATTGTGGGAATTATTCACTCCACCGAAAGCTTTATTCAAATATCATTGCTTATGCTCGTGAACTATATCTCAAAAAGGCTATTCGTTATGCTACTCAGAATTCTCGTAGTGTAGGCAGCGTGTATGTATAATGAAATGGTAACCAAAAATTTGTCTGAGTTTTCTTCTTTGAATTTTTCTATTAGATGACCTAAATCATTTTACTCGTTGCTTTTACTGATACAGCTGTAGTATGTAATTTATTTGGAAATCATTCAGACATACACATGATATTTATTTGTTCTGTGTTCCAATTGCTGAATTCTTAAACGTTGTTCAAATCTTAGTCGTGACCAATTCTACAAAACTCTACCTACATTTTAGTACAAAATTTGTGAGCAAAGTGTAATTAATTATGAATCCCTCAGTCATTAAAATTTTTAGAAATATAATTTATTTAAAAAAAAATAATATAAAATATAATTGAATAGAAAATGTTTTATGCCTTAAAGGATAGAAATATTATATGATGTAAAGGGTGAAGAGAACGAACAGTTATTATATAAAATTATACAAAATATAATTGATTTAAAACAATTTTTATGCCTTAAAGGATAGAAATATTATATGATGTAAAGGGTGAAGAGAATGAACAGCGATTAATCTCATAAATCATGTAAACGGAAGGAATCGTGATCAGGGAAAAGACACGGACCCCTGGAAAAAACAGACGTGGAATCAGGTGCTTAGGAGGAGTCAACATTCCCTGTCGACCGGTCACTCCCGCCCTTAGCCCTATGTTTTCATCAGGTAGACGGAGTAAAATTTAGTATACAAGCAATGACCTAACAAATAGAACGAAACATTTCAGACGAAATACGACCCAGTGATAGGTTGCATATACAAACAGACCGTAGAATTTACGAAAAGCTGTGTTAAATACGGTTGTTGAAATCCTTGTAACATCAACTTAATTAAAACTAAACAAAATTTACTATAGATAAAGTTCTATAGTAAACTATAGTTTACTATAGTACGCTTTAGTAAATACTTTGATACTTTGATTTACTATGAAACTTTACTTTTAAAACTTTTTTGAAGATTTAGTGACTTAATATTCTAAAAAATTAAATACCAATGAATTGTGAGAATTGTTTAAATAATATGTAATTATACAAGTAATATTTCCTTTTAGTTTAAGAAATTTGCTTGTAGGAATTAAAAAGAATAAAACATAATGATCTGCAATTCATAGTAATTATACTTTGATTAACGATAGTAAAAACTTTGATTTACTATAGTGAAAACTTTGATACTATAATAAACTGTAGTTTACTACAGTACTTTTTTTTAGGATATTTTCAGTTGCTTGCTTCGATTTAAAAATTGGTCGTATTCAAAGCATACTCTTGCGTATCGAATCAGTTGGTAGACATAAGCACCAAATGCAGGTAATGCTGGAATAATACTACATATATAAGGGCTTTGACGATGAAAGCAATCCCGTTTGTCATATAGTTTAGTTTTTACTTGGGCATTATCGACTTCAGACAGTAAAACACCTAAATATGAAACAGATGTGACAGACGATGTAGTGTCCTTTATTTCGAGTTCACTTGGATATATCGAGTCGACATATGAATAAAAGTAACTATTGTTAATGGATAAAACGTCGTAGATATATCTAAATGTTGAGTTAAAGTTTCTTTTTTCTCGTGAAGAAGTTTTTGAATAAACCCTTCTTCATAGGAGTACAAAAACAGGTCGGCTAATCGTGGAGCACAATTAGTGCCTCTTGATTTCCAACAGAATTTTGGAACATCTGGTCTCGAAAGACTACTGATATTATCAATGAGGAACTCCAGCAACTTTTTAATACAAAATCAGGGTACTTGTATGCAGAATCATAATGATTTTTAAACAAAGTAACTTTGTTGATAACCAATCACAAGATGTGAAAATTTTATAGAGAAAGCAGTCGTCTATGATTTCAAATAGCCTGCTCTTTAATTAGTAATTTAATAATTTATAATAGAATGATCGCTAACTATTTGAAAATTGACATATTTTGAATATTAATCCTTCGGAATGATAAGGTGTAAATCATTTTTCCATCTAAGGTTTGTTTTATATGTGACAATCATCAATAATCGATTAATAATTTTAAAGGTTAAGTCTAGCTTCCCTGTCTAAAAATAAAAAACACAAGGCAGTAGAGTTTTTTCCTGTCTTTAAACATTGATGAACAAATAAAACACACTTTTAATGTTTCTTTGAAGGACGAATTTAGTATAGTTTCAAAACATTCCTTAAGCCTTGCCACAACAAAGCTATATTGTTTGATAGATTCAATGCATGCAAAACCGTTTGTGGTTTTTCTCCTTCTATTGGAACGTAATCCAAGGAGGAAGTCAACGTTATATGCTTATTTATATCTTTACTGATCTCTTTTGTACCATAAACACCATGACCTATAAAGAAGTTTAAATTTGAAACTTGAAGGTGAATTAATATCAATGTGATCGAAAAGGGAGTAGCATTTGCTTTCATAAATAAATGCATTTTTCTTAAAATAGCATGTGGGACAAACGGAACAAGCATACATCATGGCATGTTATTTGATTACCTGAAATAAAGGTAATTATCGGAAATAATTTACCTGCAGCAGTCATTAAATGACGTCAGAGGCAATAGTACGTCACAAAACCTTCCAGTTACTCATATAAAGTTACATATTTGCACAGCAATCATTCATTACACATATCAGGTGTCCAAAATCAGTAAGCCATATGAATTCTTAGAGAATATTGTGTTCTGATACATGTACTCTGTAGTTTTAAAACTATAATTGTAACTGAGTGCTCAATTACTCTATTTGAAGCATGTATTTGTGATAATAAACATTGCATTCGTTTGTATTCCATATTCTCCAACTCATTTTTTAAATATTTCAATTAAATGAATTTTCACAAACTGCCATTCATTGTTTAAAGCATATGTAATGCATTTACAGGTAAGCCTATGTGTATAGCGCTGTTTGCAAAGCTTACATGTCCGAAGTAGCTCTTCATGTTTCCTAGCCTGGGACTACATGGCGGCCCGTCCTCCAGTGATGGCATGAACACAATATCGCGGTACAGACGGAAGGATAGTGCCATAAGGGTAATTCTCTCTCTCTCTCTCTCTCTCTCTCTCTCTCTCTCTCTCTCTATCTCTCTCTTAGGTAGCAAAGAACTTGTACTTAACATCACAATAAAGCAGATCATGGCTTAGACTAGATAAAACAAGAACTTAATACAAACAGCAGAACTTCAAGTTGCTATTTTTCTACCGAAAATGTACATGCATATGAAAATATATGTTAAATATTTTTGGTGATACGAAATCAACGATTATTGTGCTCTCTAGTACTTTAATATGAACTTTAAAATAGCCAAAGAGTGTTATTCATGTTTATAAGAAAGAACAATTTCATATTTTTTCTCACGGAAATATTTTACCAATAATTATCTCAGCACGTACTCCTCCAAAACTCTCTTTCATTCTAAACTCTTTGAATTTAACAAAAGAATGCAGATAAAAGAACAATTCAGCATGTAATGAGATACAAATTGCTCACTGTAACTCCATATGAAAGAATAAGAATGCAGATTAAAGAAATTCTAAAGATTGAACCATGTAGTCATTCAAAAGAAGAGTCTCATTCTACACAGCTTTAGCATTCGCCATTCTGTCTCAATGATATAAATCCTCTGTAGATGGAGAGGCATCCAGCCTGAAATATTGTATTGAAATAGAAAATGATCATTTTGCAAGTATCATTTCTTATAAAGTCAAGGACACTACCTCGTAACTTAGAATTAATCGAACTTCTACGTTTGAAGTACATTCGAGTTTATGATGGTTGTATTAGCAAACGACATGATAGTGTCTTAATTTAAGAAATAACATATAAATGCATAACTACTGGGAAATAGAAGTACCATCCACACAACGTCACTGATCTTGAGTCCACTCGTTGTCCTGGGACCCCTTACAAACATTATTGTATTTTTTTGCAGTTTCTCTCATTGAGAAGCGACAATCGAATTAAAGCTTTCATATGAGTTGATATAATATGTTTGTTTATTGTTTAACTTCCCTCTCGATAATTTTTCACTCATATGGAGAAGCCACCACTTGCCTGTGGAGAGCTGCAAATTTTGACCTATACTCAGCACTTAGGGCCATTGAGCAGTGAGGGATCTTTTTTCGTGCCAGCACCCACTGCGACACAGGACCTCGGTTTATACGGTCTCATCCGAAGGCCCAGGATATAATAAGTAAACGTAGGTTTAATGCATGTGTTGCAGATTGTTTGTCCAGAAAGGTTTAATGTGATTGGTGGAAAAATCAGAAGAAATAATAAACTTTTGTAATTTTCCCTATTCAGTACGTAAAAAACCGAATGAATTTTGTCAGGGGGTCCAAGACTGCGAATGAACTCAAGACCCCTTACGCTGTGAAGATGACAAATACAAACAATAAATAAAACATTTTTGTTTTCAAAACATTAAATGCATGAAGATGGGTGAGTCAAGATATTATCAATTCTTATATTCAACCAATTAAGAACAATTAAAAAATTGCAACCATAAGACACCTGTTTCGAGATTAGATAAACCTAGGAACTCTTTAGATTAAATTTCGTTAAATACAGGTGTACACTTCATTACATTTGTTCAATAAAAAACCATCAATCATGCTTTCTCTGACAAAGACTTTTTACATCAAGAAGCCAATAAGAAAATAAAAAAATATAATTTGTTGTTTTTAACAGATATGTTTTTTTCTGTTTTATTTTAACTGTTAATCTACGTGACAGCACCCCGTATCTTGTTACGAGCATTTCCTGGTCCTGGGAGATTAGGTCCGGTCCTCTAGCCCTAGTAACGAGGGCGATGTTTTATTTGATAAGGCAAACGGTAATAATATTTGTTCTTTGTCGTACAGAGGGAGTATAAGATTATGCTGCATTATCAGTTCAGACTCGTGCTCGTCAAAAGGTCGATGGATTTTTTTGCCTTAGACTATGGATTGACGCAGAGAAAGGGAAAATGCCGATCTTCATCATAAAAATTAGAATTGTCACTTTTTCACACCTCAGCAGTCGGCATATTAGATTTTATAGTAGGGAAGTTAAGTTCTGCTAATCTAAAAAAAAATCTTGACGGACAGATCTGTCGCCTCTACTCATTCTGTAGTTATATGAGCTTTTGGGTCTTTTCACGTATTTCAACATGGAAACCTTGAATTATTTAGTTTGCCACTTATTAAAGACATGAAAATTGGTTAATTGTCATTAAAAGGCTGTACACATAACTTTTTTGGTGATGAAACATTGCAATGAAAATTTTATTATACAGGATTATTTAACTTAAAGGATAGAAAAGAAGGAATTATACTAATTTAAAATTTAAAAGTGATTAAAAAATCCTGTGAATATACGATGTATTATGAGATATTCGAGTTGGCACTTCATGCAGAGTGTTGCATTGCTTTTCAATTCATTTAATGGCTGTCTTTCATTGTGCACCACGTATTAAAAACATAATAGACGAAACTATAAAAAATAATGTTTTCCTTTGTGTTATATAAAGTCAAAATAAGAGCAACAACTGAAATATTCAAAGAAAGTCGTATATATTTGCAAATATGTAATATGATTCTCTATTTTTATATCAATTAGGTTTGTTTCGTAGAAGGATAGTCAGGACAGTTATTTTAAAAAAGTAAGACTTTTTTATCTTTAGACTTTAGTTGCTGAGACGCTGGTGTTGGCAAAGACTCACGGATACGTAGAAAAAATAGAAAACGAGCTAGAGGAAGAAATATTACAGGAGGAAACCTACCTCCCAAAAGAGGACTTCGTGAGGTGAGTTTTAGACAAGTTCCGCTCAGTCCATCAATACTTGGACTAGGTTTCCCAGCTGTACCGCGGCGAATTTAATCAATGTCTTAATCCGCTGAGAGCGTGAAAAAGTTTCCAAAGAAAGTTGGACAGTGATAAATTACTGCTTTTGTTAGAAAAAATAATCACGACGACTTCACGTTATCTTTTTAATGGTAAGGAGGATGTATTTCCTTTAATTGTAGATTTAAGCTACTTTTTGTCTAAATCGGAGATACAGACAGAGAGAAAAAATATTTTATATGATTGTATTGATTTCTGGCCTCAATTGTGACATCCTCCAAAATGTAAACAATTTAACACAGCAAATGACTGAAGTTGTCTGTTAATTTAATATCTCGCTCGCGGATTACAGCACATTTTCTGCAGATTTCGAATTCGCTCTATTCGACGACGCTTCACTGAAGCCATTTGTGTTGTACTAATGGCAAATGTATATTGATTTGTCACTTACTCCAGTGCGTACAATTACTTTAATTGTGCTGCATCCCGGTGCCCACTAAACAAATGATGCAATCATGTAATCCACTGGATTTCCTAGCAGTGAATGGCACACGCTCATAAAATGCATATCAGCTTCCAAAACATACTCGTATATAATTCCGTTTATGTTCCCTTGAAAAACCTTTCATTCATTTTTCTTGACGTAAAATAAATGGAAGCAAAACAACACCAAGAGAAAGGTTTTTAAAAGTTCTGTGTGTCTGAATCATCTATAAACTAACATACAAAGAATATTTTATACCCAGAAATAAGAATCAGGTATGTTCATCTTAACAAAGCATTTATTTGTTTGTTGTTTAACGTCCCTCTCGAGACTTATTCACTCATATGGAAACGCCACCAATTGCTGGTGGAGGGCTGCAATTTTAGACCTATACTCACCACTTAGGGCCATTGAGCAGTGAGGGATCTTTTTCATGCCAGCACCCACTGGTACACAGGACCTCGGTTTATACGGTCTCATCCGAAAGACCGGTCTCCACGTCCCACAGTAGGATTCAAACCCGCGATAAGTATCAACTCCTTATTCCGCGACTCTAGAGCAAACACTGTAACACTGCGCCCAACGGGCGACTCTTAACAAAGTGAAGAAACATCGCAATATTAATTTCAAGGTTCACATATCGAAGTATAAGTGCAATTTAATTTGAATATACTGAGCTTGCTGTAAATTGAAATATTTTCTTTTTACAACCATCCATTCAATTTGAAATGTACCAAATTTCAGGACAAGAGTTATCTGCATCTATTCTACATCTTGTAGCTCGGACTTCTAAAATATTTAATAAGCATGGCGCAAATTATAAACATATTATAAAAACAATATTCAGGAGAGCACAGGTTTGCCTCACTACATTTCAAATTTTACATTTTAGATACTTATGATTTCTACTCGGCCTTGAAGCTGCAAGCTCACAAATTGTTATATTATTACTCAAAGCCAAATCTTAGGAAACTTATATTGATTAAATTAACGATATGATTAACGAAAAGTAGAGAAATGGATCCAAGCAAGATTTTTTTTTTGATTCGTTTCTTTTTTTACCGGCACTTTCTAAAGAAGGTTCGGGTATATTGTTGTCGTCTTGGTCTGTCCGTCTGTCACATTATTTTCTTTTTCAAACCCCTATTACTTAAGAAGTAACCAATTCAACCTTTGGGATATGAAAGGTGGCATTCTGTAGTTGTGCAATAAAGTTTTAAAATTTGAATTGTTTTTATGCTAATTGAGGATCAAAAGGGACGTGGTTTTTATTGTTATTATTTTTTTTTTTACAAAATTTTCTACCCCAGACTCCTCTTATATTTTACTCAGTAACCAATCAGTCTTTAAAAATATGATAGGTGGTGTCTTGTGGGCAATAATGATTCAGACTTTTTATTAATTTCATGCTATGGGATCAATTGGGGATCGAAAACGATGTTTATATACTACACACTCTTCCTTACATTGTAAGCAGTAGCCAATTCTTCTTTTGGAATGTGATAGATGATACCTTGTTGATGTGCAATAAGTTTTCAGAATTTTCATTTTTACCTTTTAAAAAGGCGTATTCCTATGAAAATGTATTTCAAAGAACCCCTCTTACATTTTATTATAACACAGAAGTCAAGTCATCTTTTAGAATATGATTTGTGATGGCATGAAGATGTGCAGTAAAGTTTTTTTTTAAATTTCATAGTCATTCTTTGGACTAATTGTAGATGGAAAACGACGTTCTTCTTTTAAAAAAATGGTTCTCAGAATACCTCTTAAATTTCACGAATTAGCCAAATTATATTTTGGAATGTTGATGATGTTCTGTAGATGTTAAAATTTTTATTTATTATTTTAGTTATTTTTTTACCTTGAGGGATAACTGTTGGTCGAAACACGTTTTCCTAAAAAATCCTGATTCCAAATTTCTTTACTTTTTACTCACTTTTACCTTTTGAAATATGAGTGGTGATGTACTGTAGATGTGCAAAAGATTTAGGAATTTTCATAGAGGAAACAAACTGGGAACCAAAAAAGGGGGCATTATTCTTTTTAAAAGCAATGTTCCCTGAAATCCTCTTACTTTTTACGCAGTAGCCAACTCTTAGAATGTGATTGGTGGTGTCCTGTAGATATTCAAAAAGGTTTTAGAGTTCTTTCCAGCCAGGAGGTGAATCGTGTGCCCAAAATTAATTCTTCTTTTTACACAAAAGCTTTCATTCCAAAGCTATTTTTTAAACAGAATCCATGCTTCTAGTTTTTAGTTAAAATGGATTTATTGTATGAAATATACGTACGAAACCCATGGGCCACTTGCTCACCTGATCAATTTATGTTCAATTTCATACAAGTATATTTAACAAGTTATGAAATAACTATTTTTCCTTCTTCATTAGTTTTTCAGGTACAAAATAATTTTAAATGCAAACACTTACAGGTATATCTGTCTTATAACAGAATCCAATTTGATTGTTCTTTGTCCCTTCGAGTTCAGATTGCCACTGATTACGGAAATCTTTATCTGCAATCGGCAGCACATTTGATCTTTGAACTGTGTGTGAGAGAGAGAGGGGGGTTGTGCCAGTATGACATGGGACTTTAGTTTATGCGTTTATATCTGAAGATCAGTCCCCGCATTCTGCAGGGGGACTGGAACCTGCAATGTAGTGATCAGTCACTTAAACCGCAAATTTAAAAGTTTTGAAACCTTTGTTAGCCGACTTTTTACACGCTTATGAAGCAGAATTTTCTGTACAAGAAATCTTCTTTACGAGAAGGAGAAAACTCTTGCTTTGACCTTCAGTGCAACATTTAAATATAACGACGACGAGGTTTTATCAATTTACAATTCTTACTTTTAAACACATGTCGACTCGATATATCCAAGTGAACCTGAAGACACTACAGAGTCTGCCACATCTGTTTCATATTTAGATGTTTTACTGGCTATAGACGATAATGACCAACTAATGACTCATCTGTACTACAAACGGGATGACTTCAACTTTTCCATCATCAACTTTCCCTATTTATTTAGCAATACTCCAACATCAACTGTATATGGTTTTATGTCTCCCAACTGATTCAATATGCAAGGACATGCAGTTAATACGATTAGTTTTTAAACTGAGGCAAGCTACTGGCATGTAATTTCATGTTGCAGGGGTTACTACAAAAGTCAGCTTTTCACAAGTTTTACGGTCTTTACTGGGTCATAATTTTCTGTTATGTTTCATACCATTTGTTAAGTCATTGTTTTTTTTACTTAATTTTACAACGGAGTACTCCGTTTATTTGATCAATTCATAGGACTCACGGCAGATGTGACCGTTCGACAGATGGTCCTTTCTCCTCCTAGGCACCTGATCCCACCTCTGGTATTTATAGGGGTCCGTGTTTTGTCCTGTTCAAGATTCGTTTTATGCACTGGATTTATGAGATTTATCACTTTTAGTTATCTTCACCTTTTAAATTCTATCCACTGCGCAAATAGGATACAATTGTTAATTTAAAAATATGACAATCATCATTAAGATTATTAGCATGAAAAGGTGAAGATAACGAATAGAGATCGATCTAAAAAATCTCAAACAATACAAATCAAAGACAGGAGATAAAAACGGATCTACGGAAATTCAAGAGGTGGGATCAGGTGCCTCGGATGAGTAAGCATCCCCGTCATTATCCATTCGTCAGCTTCATTGGTCCATATTTTGTTAATATTATCTTCCTTATATAGTTTTGTTTATATCGTTTATAGGTGGAGACGGAAGGGATATTCCTTCTTTAAAAGTAAAGCTGTTTTATTGACGGTGGTTATTCTGTGTATTGTGGACTGTGCTTTAGTACTGGGGGAACTGACTCTTGATTTGTACAAAGTTAAAGGTAAGCAATGGTCACTTTTGTTTCTTTATTTGGTTGGGGGGTATATTTGTTTTATGTTCAGTAGAGTTCTTCTTTGTTTCAACTTTTTTGTTTTGTTTTATTTTTTGTTTGTTTATATGTTTGGATTTTTCCTGTTACTTTTGTTAATATTTGTGCTGTGTGTATTTATCAGTTTTCATCTGTGTGTTTTGTCTGTTATATTTTTAAAATTATATTTTGGATATATCTCGTCCATCCATTAAAAAAACACATATATTGGTTTTGATATCATACAAGCAATAGAGCACTCTTTTCTCATAATCTGATATATTTTTTTTTTTTAAATATTGCATCTAAAGTTTTTAAGACATTTGAGTAATGATATTAAAATAAAATACTGGTTGATTTCCCAACTATTATTTATTGGTGAAATCGTTGACAGCTTTAATTATACTTTAGCGGAACTCATCTTCAGTAGATCAAAGTTATTTCGCTGCATACTTATCTTACATGTTCAGGCATTTTCTTCTTTGGACGGGATCTATAATATTACGGAACCTTGGCTTGCAATATCAAACCACCATAGCGCACCTTTTTCAGGGGAGTGCAGAAGATATCGAATTAAAACTGAGCTGCTGCACTCATTTCTTCTTTGATTTAGTACATATCCTTAGCAAAAAAAAACTGATTAATTACAGATCAGAGTACTCCTGCTGTGTAATTCATTGGAATTTTTTTCTTAAATCTGCATATTATATTGTCTATTATTTCATGCAAAATTCATAAGGTCTGGGAAGATACTTTTTGAATCAGATACGTCAGACAGAGGAATCTATTGAACTGATCGTGGTGACAAGTCTTTTATGTAATTTAAAGGAGTTACTCTATCGATTTGCAATTCACCTTGATTACAATCATTTTTGCAGTGAGTCACTATTATGTTGTACTGCTATAATTTTATAAAATTGGATGAGTCACCTATATTTCATGTTCTTCATGAAGCGCTGTCTTGTTATTGTTATTTCAATCTTTTGTTTCAGTTTATTAATATACCTCTTTTATCTTTTTATCCTTTTTTACAAACACCTCGTAGCAGTAAATACTCCTAAATTGCTCCTGAACCCCTACCCCCACCCCACCCCCTCATTGTTTGTTTCCAGGGATCTGTGTTTGCGCTGCTTTAAGATTCTGTATTGTTCAATTGGATTTTGAGCTTGATCAATGTTCGTTACCTACACATGTACAGTTCCATGGAGCAGGTTTAAATTATATTCTATAATCAAGGTCTTATTCTTACTGATACCAAATTACGACATTCTGAAAACTTATACATTTCTAAATCGTTATCTAAATATCATTTAATATTCTTTCGATTGAAAAATCACACAATACCTTTTTCATCCTCTTCAACAGTGACATTAGAAGACAACGAAGAATTCACGAACAGTGCCACGATGTTTCTCCTGAAAATTAAGCAACGGAATCCGGAAGCTTTGGGTAATAAAGAATATGACCAAGTATTTGATATGATATCAACAGCGGAAATAAAGTGGAATTTGCCATCCCAGAGCGAGATGAAAGACCACTATCAGCTTATTGATGAGGCGACAATACTAGATTTAGTGTCGTCAAGAAACCGAAGAAGTGTAGGGGCAAATAACAAAAGCGCAACAAACTCTAGCCATATTGACATTCCGAAAAGGGAGTATAGCATCGAAGAAAGCATTGCGCATGCGCTTCACCTCGCAAGTATTTCAATTCTAGGAATAATATTACTGGAGGTATGATGTACTTTTAAAGAATTTTCGATGTTTAAAAAACGAATTAAGAAGGTGACTGACTGGTTCTTTAGAATAAAAAAATATTCGTGTTAGTTAAAATAAACATTTACAGTTTTACAAAAATCACTTTTAGTATTTGAAACGTATGGTTTAAATCATACTTATAAGGGCACATAGAATAGTAAAAAGGTTTTTAAAGTATTTTTTCTACAAATTTAGTCGTGATTTATTTCAAATATGAAAAAAAAACGATATGGATATGTATGAATATTTGACTACAGACATTGTTTCCTAGCATTTTGTAGTCATTTAATTACTTAAGAGTGGTTTTTTTTTTCCTAAATGTTAATTCTAGGTCGCGGATGAATGTTTAACTGAGTGTGAAGGTCAAAATGAAAAGCTTGTTCAAGTGAATTTTATCCTTAGGAATAGTAGCTGTCTCTGATTTAAAAGACTTGTATTTGAGAAAAAGTTTAAAATACTGAGTTTAAAAACGAGCTGTCTACGCATGTTTAACTGAGACCTGTTGTACAGAGATTTCTGATTATACAATACTCTGTAGTTTCTGGTTTTACAATATTCTGTATAGAGTTGATGTAGTTTCTTTTTTTCATTTTTTACAAAAACATAAAGTAGGAAATTATTTAGAAAGTTAAAACTATTTGAAGTATATTGTTAAACAAAGAATTCGTATCAAAATGCTACCTTCACCCTTCTGTATTGATCTATAATTACCTTTTTTAATAACAGCAATTGAGCTCCAAATAACTTATTGACCAGGTTCTTTGGAGTTATTTTTCGAGCTGGTTTCATTGTGCCAGTAATAAACAATAACACATTATTTTCCGGTTTAAGATTTTTCCCTTATCTGAGTCGTAATGGTTTCCTGTCTCAGTAACGACCTCGTTACAATCTGTCCTTTAGAAACAATAGATGTGACTAATGGTCATGATTTGCTGCTTTGAACTGTTGTTTATTCATCCGCAACAACAGAAACATTTGACTAAAATACCCAACTATAATTTTATTAACTTTTATTTTTTGCAGACTTTGTTGAAAGCTATTTGTGCAGGGAGACCATTTTTCCACAGAAAACTTGAGGTATATGATAAAAATTTCTCAAACAATTTTAATGAAGCACATTCTCCATTCCCGATAATAATTTTGTTTTGCAATTTATTTTACGATGATTACTCGAAAGAATTTGCTGCCAATCTCTGAAAGAATCAGACTTTGTAAGTACTAAAAATGACAAGGACATATGTGAAGGTCATTGTGAAGATTCATGTTCAGACATACTAATCAAGTAACACTGAAAAAAGTACAGATTTTAATGGTGGGCTTTTATGTCGCAAGCATATTAGGCCTACAAGCTAATGCTGCAATTATTCATTGATCTTGCACGATTCCTCTAATTTAGTGCATAAGTTTTCTTTGTCAGCAGAGGAGGTGACTTCAATGGCACTGGTACTACTGCGACCTGTGAAAAGATATTGTTTAAATTTTTATTTTGTCATTGTGAAAAGCGAAACTTATCTAAAATCTTCCTTGATAAGCTAAAATTTACCATTTCATTTCACATCTTTCAAGTCGTTGTGTCGCCTGCGTGGCGCAGTGGTTAGAGTGTCTGCTGTACAGTCCCGGTGTAAGGAGTTGTTCCTTACGTCGGAGGTTAGAATCCACTGTGGGACGTGGAGACCGGTCCTTCGGATTAGACCGTATAAACCGAGGTCCCGTGTCGCAGTACGTGCTGACATGAAAAAGATCCCTCAATACTCAATGGCCCTGAGTGCCGAGTATGGGTCAAAATTTGCAGCCCTACACCGGCAAGTGGTGGCGTCACCATATGAGTGAAAAATTCTCGAGAGGGAATTAAACAACAATCAAACAGACAAGACCTGTTATTACGCCACAATAGAGGGTTCAAAGAGGAAAGACACTACATGTTTATGTGACATATCTGACGAGAAAGTACTAGTATTTAGATTAAGAGAATTTATTTGAAAGAAGACATAAAGTGGTATTAAATTGGTCTGAGTCCTCGTTTTGAACTGTAAATGATTCAATTGTTTGGGGAATATCTAGCCTCTGTTCTGGTTTTTTTTTCTAATCATTTCACTGTTTACTAATGGGATATCAAGTGATGCTGGATTTCCCGAAAAATAATCAGTAGATGTATTATTGTAAATAACGACATTTTTCAACTGCCAATTATGTTATTTTGAGACGGAAGAAATACATCATTAGCTTCTTCATGCACTTCAAGAGACACTTCACATGGAAAATATAATGTAAAAGTTAGTATTCAAGGGACATTCAAACAGTCACACACTATAAGGTTTGCATTTAAAGAGTGGTGGAATCTGAAAAACACATTTCACAGCGTTTATTAAAAACATGCATAATATGTAGGCTAAATATGTTTAGGAAATCTTGACCAAATTGCTTTCATCGACAATATTTCTTTCATTCCACCGGTTTAGAATACGCATATGTTGTTTAAGATATTTATACTGACAGCGAGATATAGATCATTTACAGTTGCAAGAATAATTTCGATATTAATTCCTCTAGATTAATTTTGTGTAAAGAAGTAGACGGGGTCATTTATCAAGTTGAAAAAGTTTCCAGAGTTTATTCTTTCCAACAAAAGGCATTTGTTTTCCGAGAAAATATCACTTTATTAAATTTGTACATCTACAGTTTTTGGTAGCATGGTTTTGTTTTTTATTGTACCTATTAACAGTAAACCTTATCATTTTTCTATCTTTTTGTACCCCGCCCAGCATAGATTTCATTTCCTTTTAAGTGATTCTAATTTTTCATTTTTTGTTGAAATCAATTCTTCTTTTTAAGTGTTTATTTATTATTGATTTAATTGACAAGAGACCTGTAACTCAGTAAGGTTTATATAGACATTTTTGTTTGTTGTCCAAATCATACCTATAGTAAAACTTGTTTTAGAAGACTTTTCTCAAGATCAAATAACACTGGTTCATATTGATATGCAAGCATCCTCATGTAGTGTAGATAAATTTCTTACATGCTCTATTAAAAGTCATTTCCCTTTTTTTATCAGTTTTGCTCCAACAAAATTTTCTCTCGTGTTGCAAAAAATAGTTAATGGTGATTCTTATATGTTACTTTCATACTTTGAAATTTACTGTCGCAAATTATTATTTACTTTGAATCTTTCCCCGAATTCTCTTGTCAAGCAATTTCCCAAAATCCGTATCAATGATGATAAATTGATATAATATTAAGATATAACTCGAAATTAAATTTTGGGACAAAAAAATTATTAATTTGAGTGTGATGGTAATACACATTGTAATGACTTTGATTTACTGTAAAAAACACTTTAACGATAGCTAAAACTTTGAAACCTTAATTTTCATTCGTAAAATATAGTTTAATATTTTTGTTAGGTTGTGCTGCAATAAGCATTCAAACATTCAAACATTTTTTTTATATGTTTCCATTGAAACAGAAAATCTGTAATTCCTTATTTAAAACGAATTTATAGACTCTTGGGGAAACAGTAAAGGTTGGCTTTTATTTAGATTTTGCATAGTAGTACTATCAGAAAGAAAGGTTACTTTAACTTTTACATATTACATACTGTAAATCACTTTTTATTCGCTTTAGAACTTTATTTTTCCATCATTTTACGAGACCATCTGCCAGGGAAAAATTCATTCTCGGGTATATTCGTATTATTGAAGATTTTAATATAACAATTAACTTATCAATGTCAGATAACTATTTCACGAAAATATGGCATCGAGTAAATTAGGTAATCTGCAGATTTGTAAGAAAGAGAGCGCTAATGCCCAAAGGCTCTTGTAAATGAACTACCTTACAAGTAGCTACAAATTGACTATTACGCATGAAATTTAAATGCTACATTTGACTCTATTTGGAAAATAAATCCCACAAAGTTTCATTTACGTCATAATTGTTGTCAGACTCTCTCTGACTTCCCATGTCGTCTGACTTGTCGTGGAAGTCAAATGCCAGAAGTGTTGAGTGACTTCTTTGAAGCTGTGATAGTGAAGTGATACTTGTGTATGTTGACATTTCAGGTCTTTGATGCGTTCTTAGTCATCGTGTCCTTTGTGGCTGACATAATTTTATTGGTGGCGCTACCGGACTACAACACAAGAGATTTTGTTTTCATCCTGGCATTTCTGTTGCCTTGGAGAGTAATACGAGTCGTAGATAGTATGTATTATGCTTGCCTCCTCAAATGCCTCAATTCGATTACAGTGGAATAGATTATATTTACAGCAAATAAAAATAGCACTTATATTTGTTTCATTCTACAACAGGTTTAGTAGTGGCAGTTAAGGACCATGAACATTTTCGCTTAAAACTTGTCTATAAAAGGAAAAAGAAAATACAGACGAATTTAAGGGAAATGGAAGTAAAAGCACAGATATTTCAGGTTTGCTTATAAATCAGTATATGCAGCAAAATACTGTTTGTAGCCTTATTTTATGCATCTTTATCATGAAAATAACACTTTTGTGAATATACAAGATTGGAAATCTGAAAATTCAAGACAAAGCAAAACAAATATTGTTCGGGAAAAAAATTAATGCACGAGAATAACAATGAATATTACTGAAAATACGATAAGAAAGGAATCTTTTGAAATATATTCGAACCTGAACATAGTATCAGATAACAAGAAAACTGTTCCAATTCTTTTCTGACATAGGACAACGCAATCTTTCCTGTATTCTATATTTTTATTAGCTAATTGAATTCTACAGAAGAAAATCCTATAGAAAAACAAGTATACTCTCCTAAATGCAACGTTTTGTTTCACCTATCTCTTAAATATCGTAGTATCCTTCGAGTCTCTTTTAACATTTGAGACGGAGAACCTTGCTTGATTTCTGTGGAGAATTCCTGATGATATCTATTGTCTTTTGTAATTACAGTATCAATGCAATGCACTTCGGAGATTATGTTTGTCGGAAGGGCTGGATGAATGGAAAATTGATCAATGTGTAAAGGCAGAGCAGAAATATCAATGTAAGTAGGTTAATTATAGCCTTAATTAAGGAACAACAATTAAGGAAAATTTTATCGATCTTCTCGGAGACATTTCATATCTTCTCTTTTGAGTAAAATGTCATGTAGTTAAAAATGTCTTGCACCCCAATCAATTGAAGTGTTTTATAAAGTAGTCTTGTGAAATATTGAATTTGCGAAATTTTACATTTTATTACCTTTTGACATTTTCAAGTTTTATGATTATGTCAAGTAAACAATTTGGTATAATTCATCCCTTTAAGTAAACAGAATTCATTTCTCTAAAAGTGAAAACCACTGCCTTTTCATAGACGATAAGAAATTTTCAATATAGAGTGCAGTCCTCAAAACCCTTCCATAGAACCACTTGTATGAACCAAAAAATGAGATATATGCATTAAAGCTTCCTTACATAGTTAAGATAAAGTTTAATCAAATCATTCCCTTGTGAGACAAATGAGGGAAACTTGGGGCTACAAATAGGGTACAACATTTCACTTAATAATGCATTGGTAAGTGTTTTGAAATTTTCTTTATATATATATATATATATATATATATATATATATATATATATATATATATATATATATATATATATAGGCGTCTTTATGAGGTCTGGATTTACATTTGTTCAAATTGTTCAAATAAGGCTTAGTAAATGTGGTGACCAATTTAATATTAAAATGTATAAAATGTTTTTTTAAATTCTTTTCCGTACAAATCGGATAACTTTGCCAAATTGAAACTATAAGCATCTGTTCTTGGTGAAGATTCAGACTTGTTCAGAATCTTTTGTCAGTTCATTTAAATAAAAAGTGAATATAATGAACAGTGTTCATTCTCTAAAGTCCATTTAAACAATATAAAATATGAGTAAAGTCAACACGGACCTCTGTAAAAAGAGTTGGAATCAGGTGCCATAAAGGAATGGACATCTCCCTGTCGACCGATCACACCCGCAGTGTGGTCTTTGTCATGATTGGGTAAATGGAAAAATCCGTAGACAATTCTGTGTGAGATAATGGCTTAACAATTTGTATGAAAAAAAAACATTCGGCTTAATCAGGGTAATCGGGGCTATCATTTGTAAAATCGATTTATATTTTGAATGCAGCAAATACCTGTTTTTGTTTGTTGTTTGGTTTTTTTTTTTTTTACAATATTCTGTATTCAAAAACAAAGCTAGCCAACATTCATTAGACTTACAAGTATCTATTATATATATTATACTGTATTATACTGTTCTCCTGAATTATTCTCTCAATAGCCCTCTTCTTAGATTGTGGTGAGTAGAACAGCATTATTAAGGATCTACATGGGTCAAAAAACTATTTTCAAAAAATATACCAGCTTTGAACTAATAAGACTCGTTGACTGATTTTGAATAGATTGAGTTTAGTCCTGTCTCTACGTGATTTTTCTTCTTTTATGACTATTTTTGTATACAATGGTAACACTAATAATGGAGTTACAAAGAAGTATAAAGAAGGGGTACATTTGAGATAAATAAATTTATCTTTCAGAAAATAAAATTGTTTCCAATTACTTTTCAGCAACACTTGGCAAACGAAAAGGCAAAATAAGGTTAGAGACCTCTTCGATGTCTCCACTCTTGAGTGACCATTCACGTGACCGCTCCCCAAGGCCTTCCATTCCCTCACTGGATTTACAGGGTTTCAAGTTTTGGAACGGAAATTCAATCAAGCACAACGAATTGAACGGAAGTATAGAGGAGAAGCAGAGTGATAAATCAATAGACGAAGAAAAATAAATTATAGTGTCTACGAACAGGTTTTTGATAGGTCAACAGTGGTCATTCCAGGAGAGAGTGGCAGAATGTGTTAAATTGCTACGGAAAGTTCTATTGGTGTTACAATCCATAATTTAGCCATGAGGATTTAGTTGATACAGCCAAATCTCACCAATTACTGGTCGATGGACACAAGGGTTTGTGATGTGGAATGAGACTCGTGTTTGTTGAACATAGCGAGCGAGTTTAAATTATGTTAGGGAAATCTATTTCACTTTCCCAGAGTCGCTTTGCAATATCCCTAAGGAAATTTCCATGCCTGTGTTATTAAGACTCCAGTTAATTCGTTTATATGCAACTTTTTTTTAATCTAAGACTTGTTTTGTTTGTGATGTTTAGTATGCGTACCTCATCAAATTATTTGTGATATTTTTACAGTGAGAGTAAATTTTTGTACAAGTTGCAAGTGTTTGATGGAAGTTTTTGTTGCATTTCATTTTTTTTTCTTTGCATTACTAATTGTCTGTTTCATTCTTATAATTCTTAAGTAACGAAACCCAGTTTTAAACCATTGATTAACTGTAATTTATGCAACTAAATGGTTTCATATTTTCATGAAACCTGCAACAAAATTATAAACACACTGGAACTTTGGGCTGCAGTTTTCCATCGCCTTTCGCATAAAGATATTTCAATACTCAAGTAACGTGTAATCAGAAATAACGTGAATATATTTCGACTAGCCCATATCTCGAATTAACAGTATGTAAGGAATAAAAACAGAAAAAAATGAAAAAGAATTGTAATATAACTTGTGTAATAAATATGAGAGAACCCATTTAAAAAGAGAATTTATGCCTGTAATAGATGTAATGCTCGAATTCTGACTTCAAGATGCGCCATAACAGCAAAAGGAGGATTTCATCAGTAGTTCATAAGTGGATTAAAAAGTGTAACCAATAAAATAGAGAAGTCTATTCAAGAAGGTTATTAAGATAGATACAAATGAATCTATTGCAGTTCAAAGTTTTAAGAGTATTTATCACTTCTGAATTTATAGGTTGAACATTTCTTATACAAGGACTATTGGCTGCTGGCAGTCATTATTAAAGAGTTCATAATTGTGTTCCGTGTTGTCTATTAAAAGAACTTCCAGAGTTTCTGTGTTGTTCAGGTGCAGTTGGAATAATTTGCTCTTAGAGAGTTAGTTTTTAATGTCATATTGGCGCTGGATTAAAGAGAAAAAATAATTTAATTTTAAACAACCCAAAATTACATGTATTACTATTTTGCACAACTCTTTCCTCGGTATATTCATGCTTTGTACTTCACAAGATTAAAGTCCTGTGACCTTTATCAAATTTTTCAAATAATTTTGGTGATGGAAAGGACTGAAGTTGACAAAAGTCAGTGCAAAAACAGTTAGAGGAATATTAGATTATACCAAATTAAAATTAATCGTAAAGGAATAAATCAGTACTAAACGGATTTTAAATGGATAGGAAAGATAATAAGTAGAAAATAAAACTTGTTTATACCAGATTTCTTTATATTTTTACTGTCTAAGTTTCTTTAAAAGAAATGAGAATATGAGATTGTTTTAATATTTTATGTTATCAATTAATTGTAAAATTGAAAGTCACACAATCAATGATGTTCCAATATTAGCATTAAAATTGTCCTCTATGTGTCTTGAACTGCAAAAGAGGAAATAGAACAGAAAACATATTCATATATATATACAGTGAAAACCTGTCCAGAACCTCGAATATTTGTTTAGGTTAAGGGTACGATTCATCACATTTGACAATAGTCTTACTTGTACCATTAACGCGATACATTTTGTCATGGTATTTATTGACCCAATGGATCATCATTCACTAAAACAAACACTGAATGAACAAATCTTATCGTCATGTTTGGTTTATTCATTAGATCTAATTACAAATAAAATGTTAGTGAGAGTCGCACTTAAAGTCCAAATTTCTCGTACTTGTTTGCAATGTGTTAATCATAATATCTGGTGTGTTAAGTTTCCTTTTTAATCGATATGGTTCATTGTACATGTTTCATAAAAAAGTTGACTGATACAACGGAAAACTATAGAACTGATTCTGGAATACGAAAAATCATAATAGATGAAAGATGAAAAAAAATTCAGGAATTTTATGAAATATCGAACTATGTTGATTAATACCTGTATGGTTTTAATTTTTACCTTTACTCCCCTTGCTCGTTGTGGACATGTTCAGACTGTGTGGATGGCCCCCAGGGAAACCCCACCTTCCTCGGTCATCTTCGTGAACGCCTCCACGTCCGTAGGAGCTCTGGCATACGCTGTAGAAAATATTTACAATACTGGGATATTACCCAGTGGCGTTTTTGAGTGAGTATCATGTCTTTTTTCTAATTTAATTATTTTTGTGACTCTCATGTTTCAGACGAATTATTGGGAAATTAATTAAAAGAACTTTGAAATTTCCTATGTGTGTTTATCTCTGTCCGTTAATGAACCTCGTTCATAAGGTACAAATTACCCCACTAAATCTTTGTTCATAATTTTAATCATTTAATCTAAAGAACCTGTTTTATAATGTAAATTTGAAAAAAAAAAAAGAACACAAAACATGTGTTCTCTTTACATTTTTTCTGTATGTTCTCTTCTGAAGTTCTTAATGAGACGTTATCTACGTGTTCTGTCAGTGTTAAGAAGAATAGTGCATATCTTAGACTCGTCGCTGTTCTAGGGTGTGTCCGTGTTGATATTTAGTTCCTACATCACATTGAAACATTTATTTAAGCATTTAATAAACTGAATTCTTGCAACATGTACCTAATACTCCCCTTCACCTCAAAAAAGAAACCCCCCGCAGAGACGTGATTCCAACTTACATTAAATTAGGTTGTGGGAGGCATGCATGTGTGCATATTTTTTTAATATCGTTTCCATGTATTTTTGCAACATGAAATCATTTCTTTAAACTTTCCTAACACTGGGAAAAAATTACATTATTATGGTTCATAGTTTGCATACATGCAATTTGTTTCTTATGAATTTCAACTGTATTAAACTATTTCGACTAAAATCTTTCTGCAAGTGTGTTGGACGATATTTTTTTCATATACCATTTCTTCACATACTGACTTTGACTTGTCCTCAATGGAAAAGACGGGTTGATATACTGGGTCCCACTCTGTTCGCTATATTTACTTATTTAAACAAGATGTGTTTGTGAATTAAACACTGATGCCCCCGTATGGCAGCTCATGGGCAATATTTTAGTAGTTCAAAAAATGTTTGTACCAAAAGAGAGGTCTTGTCACAAGAAATGCATACGTGAAATATGAAAGCCATAGCACCAACCGTTCAAAAGTTATGGCTAAGGTTAAAGTTTTTCAAACGTAGGTCAAACTCCAAGGTCATGAGGTCAAATATGTTGGTACCCAAAGAAAGGTTTTGTCATTTGTCAAGAAATGCACTTGTGAAATATGAAAACCCTAGCACCAACTTTTAAGAAGTTATGACGATGGTTTAAGTTAGTTAGTGGTATCTATCAAAAATAGGTCAAACTTGAAGATTAAGGTCATCAGATCAAAAATGATGTTACCGAAAGAAAGTTCTTGTAACAAGAAATATAAAAGCGCAGCACTAACCGTTCAAAAGTTATTGGCAAAAAAAGGAATGTTATATGTGTATGCAATGACTATTTGCTAAATATACAATGGCGCTTTACCATAATACTAAAAAAAAATAATACTGGATATTCATTTTAGTATGATTTTGCTAAAAGTGTTGTTTTCAAAATCAAAGATGTAATTACTGCGAACAATGATCCTTTACATGTAGAGAAATGTCTTTTTATCGAATGTCTTTCTGACAAATTTACATAACTGTACTTTTTTTTTATCAATCTTGGGTATTTTAAAATCATATTGAAAAAAAATACCTTGGTGTTCGATTGAGACCTTTTGTCTTTTGCGAAAGAAACAATTTCATTGGAATGTAGCTTATAATATTTTAAACCAAGTACGTCATTGTTGTGGAAATATATTCTTGTAAAAAAAATCTATTGGGTATTCATTTTTCATTGACCTTCAATCTGGGACACGGGGAATATTTTTTTGTTTTTTGTTTTTTTACCATGAATTTTCCAGTCTAATCAATTATAATTAAGAGTTTCATCAATTTTTCTCATTATTATGTAGAAAATTTACCAGAGTACCAATGATTTAAAGTTAAGTTTTAAAATCCAGTATAGTTTCTAAAATTGGTTCTATTTTTATCAATTACTGAATGTTTCACATTTTTTCTAATGTCCTCTTCTCCTCTGTTTCATTTATTTATACAAGAAGGTAAAACTCGAGGATGAATTAATCAAAAGTTCAAAGATAAATTAATTAAAAATGATAAATTAAATCGAAATTTAACTGCAGCTCTAGATCCTATTATACAGTACTGTAGCACTGCTTAGGCTGTATGTAAACCTGACATCAGACGATGTATCTTGATTAGATTTTTCTAGTCCTCTCTAATTATGGACACCAGAGCATTAAATAGCGTTGCATTTTCTTTACTTTGTATAAGAATTAAAGTGGAGACAATTAATTACGTCACAACATTAATGAATATAATGATTTTTTTTTCAATGCCCCCTTCCTAGAACAAAACTACATCCATGAGAAGATGTGCTTAAAGATATCTTTTAATTTCCTATGACTATTAAGTGGGCGCCCAATATTTTTGTCTAGCGGAACATTGTACGTGTATGCAATAACTATTTGCTAAGTATGCAATAACTATTTGCTAAATATACAAGTAAAGCTTTTTTTTTTTTTTTTTAAAAAAAAAAAACTTTGCTGTCTTTAGCAACAACCATAAAACAGTGAAGTGGTTTACACCTATCAGGCCGTATTTCATGTACTCTTGAAAAGTTCTTGGCTAGGTATTTCTATACCAGCTTTTTACAGACATTAGCGCTATCATACGAAAGACAGTGCAAAAAAAAGAATAAACACAAATTTTAATATTTTCCTGCAAAAAAGAATATTTCTGATTATGTAACTTACAGATATAGAAAAAAAAATTTAATAGTTGCCATAAAAAATTAAAGTTTCATTTTCATTTATTGCAATTTTCTTTTGTTTCTTTTGACGATTTTTTAAAGATTAAAAAGTCGTACGGAAATTAGATAACAAGAAATCTCAACCAATGGAATAATTGAAAATTTTCACATTATGTATCCTCACAAAAGAGAGGAATTAAGTGCATAGTCCGAATAATGTAAGATACTTCAATACTGTATACCGTCTTCAAGGGAAACGTTAAAGAAAAATAAAAGAGAATATTCATAATTTTATTGGTATAATTTTGGTATAATTTTGTTCAAAGTATTCTTTTTAAAGTCAAGGATACAAGTACCACATACAATGATCCTTGGTACAAGTTGCGTCAAAATGTCGTTTTAATTAAATGTCTTTCTGACAATTTTACGTATTTTTTTCTTGATCATTGGGTATTTTAAAATCATTTTGAAAAAAATATACCTGTGAGTTTGATTGAGGCCTTGTGTCTTTTACGAAAGAAACAATTTCATGGGAAAAGTTTATTAGATCTAACTCATAATATTTTAAAACAATGATTAAACCAAAGATCATTGTTGTGGAAATAGATTTCTGGATAATTAGTACAATGGGTATTTATTTTTCATTGAACTTGAAACTTGAACACAGGGGACACTTTATAGAATTTTTGTTCATTGACTTAAATATTTACTGAATTTTCTTAGCCATGAATTTTCCAGTCTTATAAATTACTCGTATAATTAACAGTTTATTAATTTTTCTCATTATTGTGAAGAAAATTTACATCATGTATTTGCTTTTCTTCCTTAGTATCATTTGGATAGATTCTGGCTGTGACAGCAAGCAAAGCATTGGAAAATTTACCGATTTTTTGTTTCAAAATAGAGTGGACGTCATATTTGGGCCACCATGCACAAAAGGTAAAGAAATGTTTTGTTTTATCATATTTTCCCAGAAATAGAGATGCATAGGATAAACAGAAGAATTAAGATAGTGAGTGGGACGTAAAATCGGAAAGCTGAATAATGTAAAAATATTGATAACCATGGTTAAATGCTACTAATCATCGTAGGGGGATTTAAGAATGGAAAGCGGAGGCAACTCATTTTTATGTATTGATTTTACATTAATATTAAGTTGTCTCACTTTAATTGTCAGAGAGGAAAAAATGTTTCTTACGGTTTGTGGTTGGATATGATTTTTATTCAACGAGTTGTGTGATTTTATCCCCGAGTCTTGGCGAGGGGATCAAAACACACGAGTTGATAAAAACCCATATATAACCAAAAACAATGGGAGATTCTTTTTATCACAATTACTAATAGCTATTAATTTCATGTTTTACACATATCTTTCACATGTTTTACACATATCTATCACATGTTTTACACATATCTACCACATGTTTTACACATAGCTATTTCATGTTTACGCTGTTTTATATATATGTAAATCCACTCGATGAAATTCAGGTAAAAACCATTGTGGCATCACTACCGTGGATATAAAAACATATCCTATAAGCTACCACTGTATAAAGAACTAAACAAGTGATAAATAGTTTTAGAAAATTTAAATACTCTTCTTTACTTCCACTAATAAAACTACTTCTAAGCTAAGGTTTGACAAAAATTAAAAAAAAAATGTGATATGCATGTACAATTGCATGTAAATTCAACTGAAACGAGATTACACTTATATTAAAATATCTTTTTCTACATTATAACAAACGAAATGGCAATATATGCGATATATCTGCTTGTGGAATTCAGACTTTGTCAAGAAGCTGCACCAAAATAAAAAAAGAAATATTAACATGAATTTTGTATATATAACGAAGCAATAAATATAACCTGTCCTTCAAAGTTGGCTACAGTCGTATTCTCTCAATAATCAGTTTTGTGCTTCAGAATTTTTAATAAAGAAAATAAACATAAAATTGAAAATTTTTGTAAGTAGGCATGCAATGAAGGTATGATTTTATTATTAAATTGATGTATGGTATAATGTTTTATACTTCCACGTTTCCTCGATTCGCAAGCCCTTTAAAGTGATCAGGATCTAAAAATTACTATATATAACTTCCATCTGACGATGGCGAGCGATCTGCCGATAAAAGACTGATTTTGCTAACAGATAAAAATAAATATACCTGGTTATCATATTCAAAAATAACTTTATCCCATCTTTTAAAAACTTAAGATGCATTAGGTAATTTTTTGTGGAATGTCACCATCTGGTAGAAGTTGTCAACAACAAAAAATAAATAAATAAAATCTGTGTTCTGTCTCTATAGACACCACATCTCTGCACATCTAGGCCTGTCGGTTGTCTTTTTATCCCATGAAATATTTAAGTCTTGTCGCCCGCGTGGTGTAGTGGTTAGAGTGTTTGCTCTAGAGTCGCAGAGTAAGGAGTTGATCCTTACGTCGCGGGTTCGAATCCCATTGTGGGACGTGGAGACCGATCCTTTGGATGAGACCTATAAACCGAGGCCCCGTGTCGTAGTAGGTGCAGGCACGAAAAAGATCCCTCACTGCTCAATGGCCTTAGTGCCGAGTATGGGTCAAAATTTGCTGCTCTCCACCGGCAAGTGGTGGCGTCTCCATATGAGTGAAACGTCTCGAGAGGGACGTTAAACAACAAACATCTTGTCTCTGAAAATCAAACAACAGACAAAGTTCAATATTTTTTTCATTGATAGCAATTTAATATCAATTCTTACTTATTTTATATATTTTTATCTATTTTATTTTACTTTTTATCCTTTACAAAAGCATAATGTACATGACATACAAAAGTAATACAGAGTGTATAAACAACAATAATTTTCAAATTGGTTCCCTCCATTTTGTTCAGATAAGCAACAACTGTGTGTTGTCTGAATTTATGTGTTCTGTTTGTGTTTGCACTGCCTTTAATTCCAGTACAATGATATACTTTTTTTTCTCTGAGGAATTCGAAGGTTCTCCATCCTTCAGTTCTGAGTGAGGCACTCTGTCCCCACCATGTTTTTAAAGCATCTGTTTGTACCAGTAAGTCCGAATTTGTAAACATTCCAATTTGTTTTCCATTCCATTATTTTAGTTGCTGTAGCCACCAGTTTATCTCCCCCTGGAAGCCTGGGGCAGTATTACCAAATTTGATAATTTCTTTGTGCTGCTTTTGACAGGCATTTTGATTGGAACACTTCAAGCTCCCTCACATACATTGAGGCCGGGATGACAACTTCTGTAGCATTGAGTGTCTCTATTAAACTTGATAACTCTTGTATTGACACGTAAGTTTTCTGTTTTGTTTATCATTTCTATACATTTTCCTTTGATACTTCCTACTTTGTTGCCGAAAGAGCTATTTCCATTCCCACTGAATTTATTGTTATACCAAGAAATGCTAGCTGCTGATATGGAGTTAGGAAAGATTTTTTACCAGTTCATGAACCATTAACCAGTCTAGATTGTGAAGCAATCACAAAAGTGTCTCTGTCTTTTGAAAGCCCTTCTTGCGATTGATTTAGCAACAATATGTCGTCTAAGTAAATCACAAGCCGGACTCCTATGCGTCTCAATAGCGCAATGATTGGTTTCATATTTTCTGAAATGTCTTGGACCTTGGACCTGATGTCGGTCCAAATGGCCGTCCTTTGTACTGTAGCATCAGCCCTTAGGACTGAAACCTTAGATACTTTCTGTGATCTTTACAAATTGGTATGCAAAAGTGTGCATCTTTTAGATCTAACCATAATCAATCCCCTCTCTGTATCAAGTTTATGACCACCTGAAAACCCTTCATGTTGAAGTGATTGTACACTACAAATTCTTTTTGAGCTTTCAGATTGAATATTAGTCTTTTGGGGGTCGTACAAATAAATGAATGGCAAACTGACCATTTCTTTCTGAACAATCTCCACTCCACTACTTGACCGACATCTCCTCTATTTCCGAATTTCTTGTTTTGATAATCTTATTTGCTTTGGTAGAACCCTCTTAGTTGGTTCTGGACTCAATTCCGTTTTGTATCCTAAAATATTCTCCAACAAGTTTTGATCTTTTGTAATCATTTTCCAGTTTTCCTGAAATGCTATTTTGTCTTGATAAATTTCTTTGAGATGTACCACTGCGGCATGCAGATTGTTCAGACTTGAAATTTTTATTTGCTCTATAACAATAGGTATGCCCTCGATTATTCCCATACCTGTTCTCCCTGATCTGGGTTTCTTTAAAATCTTGAAGTTTGATTGCACAGGTTTTCTGTAACTCTAATCGCCTTGTTTCGACATCCATGTAGACTGACTACTCGAACAATTTCTAAACCCACGTGAGGGCTTTGTACGAAAGAGCTGTTTTGACTTATCTTTGTGTCTCCTTTTAGGTTGCATTTTGTTTGAGAGATCTCTGGATCTCTTTCTACCCTTGCTTTTCCTGTCAAGAGCCTTAAAAGTTTTATCTCCATAGACCAACTCTATTTTTTACTACAAACAAGAAGCATTTGTCTGGCCAACTAAAGCTACTGTTTGTTCTATCAATTTTAGCTTCTCAAGAACTGTAAATTCAAAATTTTCCTCCTGGCCATTCCGTGGCACATCAATAACCTGTCAGATTTTGGCCAACGGCAGAGCAATTTTCTTCTGAATAAATGCCAGACTTTTATCCTGCATTTTTAAAAATTTTATAGCCTTATGATCTATGAAATCCTCCACAAAATTATCAACTTTTGGAGGTTTACAGAAAGCGTTAGCAGGTCAGGGACAGCATCTAAAATGTGGCGTTTGATACTATCACCTATCAGATGTTGATAAAAATATTTCTAACAGTACATGTACGCAGCTATGCTGCCTTCAAGTAAAAAATGAATTCTTACCATATGCAAGATCAAATCTCTCCCTATCAGATTCTGTTTCTAAAGAAACGACATTAGAGTTGCCTTGCAGATCTGTGTCCTGAAGGGTGGAGCTATCATTATCTACAGGGAGATTAGATCTCTCAGATTCTTTCCCCGATTCTTACTGGTCACTCTCCGAGTCAGAGCGTACATTGTCATCCTGGCTTAAATCCATTTTGCAAAAATGCGCAACTTGCCCTCAAAATATATACACAACATACCAAAAATAGTGTACAACATGCCCTTAACATCTACTTAGGCTCTACAAGTGATTTACGACGAAGCAAGTCGATTCGATTCGATAAAATTTGAAGGAAAAAAAAGTCTGCTAATAAGCGAAGCCAGCGGAAGCAGGAAGTTATAGTAATTTTTAGATATCGATCCCGATCACTTTAAAGGGCTTGCCAATCGAGGAAACGTGGAAGTATACATTATTATACCTTACTTCTGTTTATGGAATAAAAAACTTTATTTTTTCATTCCTTAGCCATGATTCCAATTGCCGAGTTGGCTGCCTATAGAGACATCCCTGTCTTTGGTTGGCTGTCCAATGAAGAATCTCTTGATGACAAGAGTAAATTACAGACACTGGTCCGATCCATCGCCCCTCTCTCGGCAATAGGTAGAAATCTACAGCATTCTGAGAATTAATTGTGTTCAGAATTCCTATGCAAGACATATGCCGACTATGTAGAATTGACAGCAAAAAAGTGTTTTATTGGTAAAAAAAAAAAAAAATTACACGGGATTTCAATTTCATATAACTTGGTTAACTGTAAAATGTTTAATCTAAAAATATAATTGTTACTCAAAAAAATGAAGAGGAAGACATTTAACTGTTCGTTTGTTGTTTTTTGAAGTTATATATTTTAAACAGGAAATATTCTCACCATCTTTTTATCCGGATTCTTCTGGGTTCGGGTGATTGTCATATCTTCTGTGGATTCCGAATGTGAGGCATACGCAAATGCATTCATCTCGGAAATTGAGAGTCCATACTGGTCTTCGTTCGGATTTTTTCTCGCTCATCACTACGCACGCGTGGATCTAAACGCAACCGATTCAACGATAGATAATATATACTCTGCCATCAAGTACGAAGGAAGAAGTATGTCTGAAATAATCAAAGAGACAGTAATGTCAAATCACTTAACCATTTTTTTTTAAATTAAAATAACCTCGGTTTCGTTGCAATCTTTATCTTGTTTCCACAATTTTGATGAAGCCGTATTTTTATCTTTTTAAGTTATCATCTTAATTGTTCCTGAGTCAGAGCTTCGTGCTTATATGATCCGAGCACATGCTCAAGGAATGGCCAGCGGAGACTATCAGTTTCTTTTTATTAAGACTACTTTACTGTCTAATGAAGAATTAGCAGATGTAGAGAGCACTGCATTATGGGAACATGGAGACACAAATGATGACGCGGCCCGCCGGGGATTTGAAAACCTACTTTACGTAAGAATTTTCCAGATTGGCATTGTACATGTAACTACCAACATGTAGGTATATCGAAGCTTTCGTCATAAGATTTTTGCTTATTTCAGCTGTCTTTTGGTGACGCTTTGGAAGGAAATTCAACATCCACCTGGTCCGCTGAAGCCCATGCAGCTTACCTGTCTTTGAAATCGGCATTTCCTTCTCTACCTGATTGGGCACAGGTAACCAATTCCCAGGTGTTCTTTTTAAGGTTCTTGAGAAACACTCTTGAAATTCAATTTCTACTAAATAAAATACTGCGTATATTAATGTAATAAATTATTGGTAAGAATATATGACCAACAAATAAAAAAGTGATTTCTATGGAAGTTATTTTACTTAAATTAACTAATCTTTTAAAGAGTAATTTTCACGCTATCTTATCTATTTTTAAGCCTGATATATACTCACCATTTCTCTATGATGCTGTGTACCTCTACGCCCTAGCATTGCGTAACAATGGAGGCGACCCAGCTACAGTTAATGGTTCCACTATCAGACAATCTCTAGAAAACTTCAATTTTAAAGGTATATAATATACAATAAATATTGTACTTTTTTACGAGTATTGAAATGTGAAAATCTATTATTATTTTTTTTTAAGTGTCGTTTCACAATCTGCACTTGGTCATATATAAAGAGGTTTATTAAAATGTTTATCTGTTTAGGTCTTTCTGGAGATGTAGTGATGTCGAGTAATTCTGATCGTTATGCTTCTATTACTGTATACGACCTCTCGGAATCCGGGAATTTCACTACTGTGGCCTACTACAGGATGACAATTGTTAATGGCTCTATTTTTCCGGTAAATCTGCCAACTTTTGCATTGATATTTTCACATCTAACCTTCAGTAAAAGAAGAATATTCATAGAATCTATATTTACATCATAGATCAAGGAATCCAACATTGTATTGTCAATTTTTAAGTATAAATAAATATTTTTTTCAGAGAAATGTTGTTTAAATGAAGACTGTACTTACCGTAATGTTTTTCCATTGATCTTAGTTTATCATCATAATTAATTCATCCGAATTGAAATTTAAGGTTTGGTCTGAAAAAATTAAAATCCTCTTCAAAAGCAGCACTTGTTAACAAATTGTCTATCGATAATTTACACAGGAGAGCGACATAACCTTCTTCCGGTGGGGAGATGGGACGACCAGTAACGATCGTATCCCGTTAGACACGCCCACCTGCGGCTTCTTTAATGAGAAATGTCCAGCATCTCCAGGTATGACCAATCATCTGTCTTTAAATCAATGATCCAGTGGTTTAGAAGCCACTATCAATGTCCTTAAATTTCTTCAAGCGCAATGTCTGCTTTCCCTTATTGAAATGTTAACGTTTTTATAAACAAGTGATAAGTTGTAAGCATATTAGGGAGAAGTATTTTTAATTTTTTGAATTGTACTATACAGCCATATACCCTATATCGGAACTCTCTCTCTCTCTCTCTCTCTCGTGGTGGCATTATTTATAAGAAACATCAACAACACTGTGAACTTTTTTTTTCAAATTTACCTACTGACTATAGAAAAATATAAAGGGATATCTTTCAAAGCAGGAGATTCAAATCATAGTAATAAGAAATTTTATTTTGTATTATATAAACACTGTTTCTTATAGTTCAATATTCTTTATTCTTAAACATCTGTCACTCTTTGATTTTTATACCCTTTCTTACAGTAACACTGATGATAAAATTTAAAAAAAATTCTCTTAATTGGGTTTTCGGTAAAATGTCTTTCGTGCTAAAGTCCCTGAAGCAAAGTTTCTATTGAACTTGAAAATACATCCAAAAAGAATTGTTTTTAAATGCCGATTAGCAATCGATATCAACTCGTATGAATTTTTCATCACTTTAATCGAAGATTCCAACTTGAAACATAGTGCTTGTCATGCCTTTAAGATAGAAGCGGATTTTTATTTGCTAAGAACGCATCACAACAAAGGAAGGAGAAAGGTCGAAGTCGGGTTAACCTATACGTACCAAACATTACAAAGTTTTTTTTTTCCATTGTCAAGTTCTGGAAAACTAACAATTTCTATTTGTCTGCCACCACAACTGGATCAATATTGGGAAAAAAATATCGATTCTAACGCCGTATCCCGTTAAAATTCAAGTGCTTGTAAATGAGGCTGAGAAGCATTATAATACGTGTATTTACATATTCCAGCTTCGTCTTCTGATCTCGCCGTGTACATCGGTGTGTCATTAGCAGCCATGGTTCTAGCAATGATGTTGTTGTTGGCCTACAGGTAAATACAATACCTGAACGGAATGTTTTCAGTGTTACTCGTGCTTTTCCACCTGACGAGGTAAGCAAATTTATCCAATTTTACAATTGCCTCTAAAGTTAGTAATCGGTTGACAATTATCTGTGGTAGGAAGCACCATTACATCAATTAGAATTGGTATGAAATCAACAAATTATGCAAATACCTTGTAAGGTGCAATCATTTAATATTATTATGTAAATAACAAAGTAATTTAATAAATTTCCCATGGTACCAGTAGCGATCTATCTTTACGAGATTATAATATGCCATTGTGTTCCAGGATATGGAAAAGGCAGAAGGACCTTCAAAATGTTGTTTGGAAAATTCCTTTCAAAGACATCGATTTCTTTGTAGGAAAACAGGTTCGGTCTTTCATGGTAAGTTTTCGTGATAAGCACCTGAAGCTTATAATATTTTTTTTTTACTTTTTATTAATTACAACACTAAAGTGAAAATCCGCTTTGTAGTAATTATTTTACGGGATGTTCATTGCACGGTGACTCTAAACAATTTTTTAACACTTTTAATAGAACCTATCCCGAAATGACAGCAGTAGTGATTTGGCAATGAGGAAAGACAGTGTAGGGACTGCGTCAATTCAACGTCACCGGCGCTTGAGCATCACCAGCCGCTCAGACAAAGGAACAGAATACACGGGAGGAACCACAAACGCTGACACGTTCTCTATGGACAACAACGTCATACACAACTCAAAAATCACTGTGGCCCGATATAGAGGGCGTCTAGTGGCCTTAAAGTCTCTCAGGAAAAAGAAGTTCAAAACAGATGGGGTTAAGTTCCTGAAAGAAATGAAAGAGGTCTGTTTGACAAGTGCATTGTCATTTCCATTTCCGTTGTGTACATAATCTAAGGATTTCATTTTCATAAAATTATCAATTATCAGGTTATTGAATTCAAACATGCAAACATTGCCGCCATGTTGGGTATCTGTACAGATTCTGAGATCCCCTGCGTTGTATGGGAGTACTGTTCTAAAGGAAGTGTTCAGGTAAATTTCTCAGCCCTGTCAAACAATACTAGTATTCTTCTGATTACATGTACCAGCAAATTATCACGGGACATGGCTCGTTCAGAATCTAATTTCTAATTTATTTTGCAGGATGTGATCGAACATGACGACATTAAATTGGATACAATGTTTAAGATATCTATTGCTGTTGATATATGCAAGGTAATTTTATTGCAAAATAATCAATGTTTTCTTAACCCTATCGAAGCCTCTATTTAAATTCAGGAAATGGAAGAGTACGACAATCATAAACTCAGAGTATTGCATGCTATATATAGGGACAAGTGCTGAGTATTTGACACCTACTATTCATGCAATACTCTTGAGATAACTTAATATGTCTGTTATTGCCACCTTTTGTTTCTTTAGAAAATTAAATAAAAATATTTCTGCAATCTAATGAAATTAATATCTTCTTTGATCCGCACCGTATTTAGTACTCTCCACGGACATAGGAAGATCTGACTTCAATTAGAATGAATATTTCTGAAACTACAAGAGGGAGAATTAAAAACTCTAGTATTTCAAACATTTCTGTAAAAGTATATTATTTATGAGGGCATCTTCTACAAAATTCTGGCATGTATTCTTGAAAAATTAAGACTTTCAAAACTAAAATTTGGTCTTCTGCATGGAAATTAAACTTATTTTCTAATCCAACTATACAAAAGTATTTACGAATGTAAATGTATTTTTAAAGCCATTATAATTTTGATTTACAGATTGTTTCCTCATTGCAAAAATTATTCGTTTTGTCACTTACAATCAATATTCATTATGTCTCCTTAGCAGTTGTCATTGATATTTTTTTATTGATAGTACAATATGTGTGTATGTTAATTTCTCTCAATATGATTATACACGTATTTGCCATTTTTATTTATTCTCAAATGCTCAAAATGAAGATCATATTTAAGACAGTTTTATCTTTAAGCATGTTCACAACCATTTTTTCATAATATATAAGAAGTATTCAACCAGAGTTTCAGTGTTATTTAAAAATTTGTTCTAATTGTCAAGATTTTTTTCATGACGAAGTCAATTTCTCAGCTTAACCTATGCATATGTATCACAGCTTGATGAAGAGGAGGATGCCGATTAAAATTTTCAAAAGCATTCTCAATTTTTTTTTCATTTACTAAGTTTTCCATGGATATCATCGTTTAGATATTTAAAGCATTATGATCGTGTATATAATTGTTTGCAAAAATTTCAACAAACATCTATTTATATTACACTGTGTAGAACGCAGTCAGGATTTACAATTAGACGACCTCAAAAAATCATGTAATATTTATACAATAATATTCAGACAATCTACAAGAATCTTTCATGCCGGTAGTGCACATTGAAATTAGTTTATACTACTATGCAATACGTAAAATATCTACACTGCAGCTAGGCGTGTCTCTGTTAGAATTATTCTATTGTGTTAGCTTAATTAATTGATAGCTGTGCAAATCTATCACGATTTTGCAATAAATCGTGGTATTATGAATCCATTGCCACAAGATGCTCTCTTTTGTTGGTAAATAATGTAATGCAGAAATGCTACAGGATCGCATGTCAATTATATTCTCCTTCCCACCGATGAGTTAAGATTTTGTAAAAAATTTAACATTTTCAAGTTTAATGAACTAATAAACGCAAACAATGTAGAAATATAAAAATTGTCGAAATTTATGAAGAATTATTTTGGAACTGTCTGCTCTTCTTGAATCCTATATAACTGATTATGTGCTTACTTTTTTCTCTTTTTTTTTATATATACTTGTCTATTTTTGACCCGTGACTGTTACTGTGAACCAACTTTTATTCAGGTGCGAGAAACATCCGCGAGTTTCGCGATCTTCATTTGCTCGCGAATATTTCTCGTCGCAAACAGATCATTTTATTGTGTATTTATGTATCATTTTCCCCAGTCTCGGAAATTGATAGTCGCAGATAGATTTAAGGCAGACAATTCGCGAATAAAAGATGACGCGAACAACAGTTGGTTTACAGTATTTATGTTTGTGTATTTTGTATAAATGTATCTCTTGTATAAGTGATCTGGTTTTGGGCGAATAAAGAAAAAAATTGAAATCAGAAGGGAATTTTGTGGCACAATATTAAAGTACTGACCCTTCAGGTCCCTCCCCCAATTTCAAGCCAAGCGATCATCTCTGGCATTTGGCTGTCAGAGGTCAGAAAGGCCCGAGGGGTTCCGCTACTGGGTAAACAGATCATAGGTAGCGCTTTGACGAAGCATCCAGTTGCATACGACTTTTGGTTACATGAAATTAAGCGTTTAGCCTATATGCTAGCCGCTTAAAGATGGTTTGTCCTTAGGAAGAAAAAAAAAACTTTTTTATAATTAACCCATTAACGTAAAAATTATTTCATTGTAAGGGACTGTCATACCTTCATAAGAGTGACCTACGTTTCCATGGTAATCTGAAAAGTTCCAATTGTCTGATTGACAATCGCTGGGCGTGTAAACTTACAGACTTCGCTCCTCGTCATCTACAAGGTGAAGATATCGACAAAGAGAAAGAAGGGGATGATGAGAAATACTCAGGTTACTGTTTCATCCATTTACTTATCGGAACACATCTTTAAGGATCAAGTGAGATTGATTGCTGAATCCATAATTCAAAGTTTTGGTTTCTAGGATCTCTAAATCCGGGATTAATTCAATTCTCAAGTAAAAAAATCAATCTATAAAACCATGATTCTTGGATTTTGTTTCTCTTTAATTTTATAAAAAGAACTGAATACTATTTAGGCTTCTTTAAATTATTGAGCTTCACTCTTTTGAATTTTCGAGATAGTAGTAATCAAGGAGTTTTTAAATAAACTAACATAATTATGAATTCCTTTTTTCTTTAGCTTTACTGTGGACCGCCCCAGAACTCCTGAGAAGGATCATCCCCACTGGAAAGCGATTTGGATCTGCCGCCGGTGACGTGTATGCTTTCGCCATTATTGCTAAGGAACTCATCTGTAGGGACAAACCTTACTCAATGGAGAGCCATCTTACTGCTGAAGGTTTAGTCTATATTTTTAACATTCTATATACTAGTAGTTCTGCTCAGTGGAGAGTCATATCACTGCTGGAGGTTGTAGTCTGTAATCATTAACATTCTATATATTTGTAGTTCTGCTCAATGGAGAGTCTTTCCACTGCTGAAGGTTGCAGTCTATTATTTTTAACATTCTATAAAGCTCTGACAATATACAACAATTACTATCCAATATAAATACGCATTTTTTCTGTTTGGTAAAAAAATTACCCTAAAAACAAATTAAATTATGTATGCTTAAAAGAAATTCTGCAGAATGAATAGTATACAATACGTATAATTTTATCGTAAAATGCAGTACAGACCTTTCCCTGGAAAACGAATTAAGTTATGGTTGACAGAAGATATAAACCGCATTATAAATACATGTCAGTACTTTGATATGTTTCAGAAATCATTAATAAAGTAATGAATGACAACGAAGCCAAGCGTTTTAGACCATCTTTCCCTCAAGAATTAGACGGTATTCAAACAGCAAAACAAAGCTACGCCATAAAGAAGTTGATACAGAGTTGCTGGATAGAGGACCCGATGATGAGGCCAACAGTGAAAACAATTCTGAAAACACTGAACAAAATCAACCCATACAAGTAAACAATTTCTTCACTGATACTGGAGCTTACTTGATATGTTACTGATATGTGTATCTTAGGTAATTGTTGTGTTTTTCCATTGTAGAAATTCTAACGTCATTGAAAACATGGTTGTGATGATGGAGAAATACTCAAATCAGTTGGAGGAAATTGTAGCAGAGAGAACCGAACAGCTTCAGGAGGAAAAGAGAAAGACGGATGCACTCTTGTTCCGTATGCTTCCAAGGTATTCTCTGCGATATATTATCAAATTATCAATAACAAATAATTTCTTCATCAGGACATTGATGTCTGATCTTACATATTTCTGTGGATATTGTAGAAAGGTGGCTGAGGAATTAAAACTAGGTAAACCTGTGGCCGCCGAAAATTTTGAGTCCGTGACGATTTATTTTTCTGACATTGTTGGCTTTACAAATCTGGCTGGAGGTAGTACGCCGATGCAGGTATACAAAAAATTATATGAACAAAATATGTATAGTGGGTCAGATTAGACTATTAAGAATTTTTGTGAAGGCTGAAAAAAAATTGAAGGAAGTTTTATTATATTTGTCCATGTGATAACATTGACATCGAATCCACATCACCGTGTAACTGGTTATCTGATTTTGATTTTTTTTTTAACCATGATATGTGAATCTAAAAAATAACGAATTAAAAATTTGAAAAATGAGTTTTGCTAAATAAAAAAGCCATTTTATACTTTAATTTTGCAAAATCTGCACCTTGTTAAAAGTTGTTATACATATGCTACATGCATTTTCCCTCCATTTCTTCTTCATAAAATGTACTTTTCAATATTTTAAAGATAATAAAAATAAATCAAGATACTACAGTATGGGTTAATAAAATCAATGAAATAACTCAATGCTGTCAGAGAGTAATGACGGAACATATAAATAAGAAATGATGGATCCAGGAATCAATTGATTTATTCTTGAAAACAAGCAAAAAATTGTCATTCTGTGTACTTGAAGGTTGTTGATTTGCTGAATTCGCTATACACACTTTTTGACGATATCATCGAACATTATGACGTTTACAAGGTAATTCTTCCTATTTCCTCTTCTCGTGGATATGGTACATGAAGTAGATTACATTAAGTTGATTTTTCAAAGGGAAATGATAACAATGCCATCCATTCACAAGATAATCTGCATACATTTTTTTTTAGCAAAATTAACAGTATTTCGCAAACTTTTATCTTGTAAGTCTACATGATAAAACCCAAGGAAAATACTTTTTAAAGAAATAAACATATCTCCTTTCTTGAAAATCTGGTTCTGTGATATTATTAATTTTCTGTGTAATGAAGAGGTAATATAACATCCTTTAAATTGATAAAATTTAGGTTGAAACCATCGGTGATGCATACATGATAGTTAGCGGACTTCCGGAAAGAAACGAAAATAATCATGCCAACGAAATGGCCAAAGTGGCGCTAGAGCTATTAGATGGTGTCAAACATTTCCAAATACCACATAAACCAACTGAACAACTGCAGATAAGAATTGGTATTCCCTACGTACCTATATTTCTTCTTAATTATGGACAATAAGCTAGATCTATCATGACCTCACCATATGTTCAGAATGAAAAAGGATGAAGATAACGAACAGGGATTGATCTCATAAAACCTTCAAACAATACAAATCTGTGTACAGGGCATAAACACAGACCCCTGGAAATTCCAGAGATGGGATCAGGTGCCTAGGAGGAGTAAGAATCCCATGAAGACCGGTCACGCCCACAGTGAGCCCTATGTATTGATCAAGTAGACGGAAAATGCCGAAGTAAAATTTAGTATAAAAACAAAGGTTTTACAATTGGTAGGGAAATAGTCAGCCAAAATACGACCCAAGTGATACGTTATATATGCTTATAAGGTCGTTATAACGACCATACTATTATACCATTTACGAGATGCTGACTTTAAACGAGGTTGTTGAGATCTCTGCAACATCAATTTATATAGAGCATGCTCTTGCGTATTGAATAAGCTGAGAGACATAAACCCCATATACAGGTGATAAGGGTATATTGCTAATATGTGAGGGAAGTTGACGATTTAAAAATATATTGTTGACTTTCTTCATTTTTCATTGAAAGTTTAAAATAGTTTAAAACGCATGTTTTTGTTGTATTCACCAAAGAGATATGTCCCAATATAGCTTATTCAACCAATTTATAGAAACTAAGCATCATTAAAAGAATTCATTTCTCAAGTTTGTGAGAAACTTGTAGATTTCTTTAATTTATCATACATGTATTTTGTCTTAAATGACATGATTTATCTGTTTATTCACTGCATAGTTTTCTTAATACTTTTTAAGTGTCAACTCTCTTCAACAGATGTGATTACTTTTATGGATTTCAAGCTATAAAGAATTACTCTCTATTAAATTTAATAGGCATATACTTTTTTCATGAATTGTAATGGAAAATACAGGACTTGTGAAACAGAAATAACTTCTGTATGTTATTATTTACTAAGGGCTCCACTCCGGTTCGGTGTGTGCTGGGGTCGTGGGTTTAACCATGCCTCGTTATTGCCTGTTTGGGGATACAGTCAACACGGCCTCACGGATGGAATCTAATGGCTTGGGTAAAGGACACTAGGTTTAAAGTAGTTTTAAATAACTCTTTTAAAATGTTTTAATTTTTATCTGAATTATTCAAGTATGTTCTTACTTTGCCAGCACTGAAAATCCATATTAGTGCGACTACAGCGGATTTATTAAAACAAGAAAATTGTTATAAGATAGTGGAGCGAGGAAAACTAGAAGTAAAGGTAAAATATTGAAGCAATAATATGGCCAAAATACGTATATGTCTCTGTATGTTCTTTTTATGAAAAGCAGAAAGATTAATTTAAAAGTATTTGTTTATTTGTATATTTTTGTGTATTTCTCCACCCAGTAAAATTCAAATTTCACAAGGGGAAATTACTTTGAATTTCCATTTGCTCTATATAGTCATTGATTTCCAAAATTTATATTTAGATCAAAGGCTTCTAAGTGAATGTTAACTATGTGTAAACTTGGATGTACACGTTTATCACAGGGCAAAGGTTCTATGACCACATACTGGTTAGAAGGTCGTACTGCAGTAGAAATTCCAGAATCTTCTTCTGGAGGTGTATCGCTGTCGGATTTCAATGCCTTAAATATACAAGCTGATAGTGTGAATGATACAAGCAATTCCAGGGTGTCAGAAAATGAGGAAGAATTGGGAGAAGATGAACCATCCATAAAATATGTATCATTTCTGAACATGCCGTCCCTGCCTAATGCTGCAGACATAAGCAGCAGTGACTCTGGGCTTTTAGAACTGTTTGATAGTGAGCCCGAGGATTTTCCTTCTACGTGATCTTTTTTTATTAATAAGTGTCCTTTATTATTTTGATATACATATTTATGATTGCCATATGAATATGTGTAATACATATCAATAATGATACTTTTACATTGTGTATTTTTGTAAATGTTTGTTTTTAAAAAATGCACTTAAAAAAAATTTCAAATGCTTTCATGTATTATCACATCAAAGTCTTATCTGCGTGAATATAATCTTGACATAAAATACCTCTGTACTTGAATTACTGATATAGATAATAAAAAGATAATATCTGACTGAGGGGGTTAAGAAGTAAGTGTTCTCACTTAGATGCCCAAATAGGACTAGTCCATACTTTCAGAAGTAATTTGAATCATCATCTGCTAAGACTATTAAATTCTTTTTACGAATAGTCTTTTTTTTAATTCTTAATTAAATAAAGATACAAGCGTAAAATTTAATTATGATAAGAAACATTCTTTCTTTGAAGACATCTAATTGACAGTAGATTTTGGTTTCCTTTTTTCAATTACCTTCTTGTGGGTGAAATTAAGAAACCTGATGAATAACCTGCTAGAATGATTTTTTTTTTTGCTTATTTCATTCCTCCATACCTGCCTGAGGATTAAGAGCATTGAATCTAAACTCAAGATTAATTTGAACACCAATTATGAATAAGTGTTAAACCCCTTTTCTTCAACTAGTTCTAAGCAACTAAAATTTTGAAGATATTGTTTGCAATATTTAAGAAAACCCGTTCAATTTCTTTTATACTACTAGAATTAAAAAAAAATAGATGATACAGGTTAAAATTTAATTTCTTGTTCTTGGTACAAGACATCGTCGCTGTACGATCTTCTCCAATTTTGGAGACAGCTATACACGAACTCCGGACCGTGGCTTGAGGTGATGAGTACAAGGCTACATGTATTAGATTTGTCGCCTGACTCAGACTCTGAGAGCTGTGAAATTTTGTCGGTTTTTACATGACTAGAGATAGGTTTTGTTTGCAGAATCGATATTGGATCAAGGTTACTGACAGCTGTTGTACGAATGTTTAACAGAACAGTTGACTTGATAATGTAAACCTGTTGCGATGCCAATATTTGTGTCTACTTTTTAATTGTCATTCTTTAGAATTGAATCCTAGCGTAATAAAAAATACTGAAGGCTGAAGCTCTAAAGAGCCACTATTGATGTAAAAGATTTGTTTTATAGTGTATCTTTATGGTTGACGTTAAATATATTCAAAATTATATATTTTTAAATTGTATTTAAGCATTTATTCATTTTTCCCCTTTTTTCAATATCATGAGTTGATAACATTAAAATTGATTAAGTCGTATTCCTACATTAATAGTGAATGGTGTTGATAAAATGATTAATACTAGGAAGATAATCTAGCAGAAACATTTTGTCAGAAGATTAAACATATTCTTTGTTACGCGATATTTTGTTTCAAAGAGATATACTTTAAAATATGGGACTTTATTCTTTACATTGAAAATAAAAAAAAATCCACTGTTTAATCATATGAATTTATATATTTTGTTTTTAATACTAAAAATGGTCAGTTCAATGTAAAATTTTGTAATATCAAATAAAATGGATCTTCATTTTTATAGGAACTCTCTCTCTCTCTCTCTCTCTCTCTCTCTCTCTCTCTCTCTCTCTCTCTCTCTCTGTATTTTTTACATTTTATAACAGACTTTCCGTCTAAATAAATACAAAATAAATACGATTGATATATTCTGTGAAATCTCTAATTTTTGGTGGGGGTTCAATTCTCGTCGTTTTCATGGTATAAAGGGACGCACGAATTCGCTACGAAATGCTAAATTAAACAGCATCATGATTCTTCTTCAGTCGCCTGCGTAGCGCAGTGATTAGGGCATTTGCTTTTGAGTCGGGGAGTAAGTACTTAATCCATACGTCGTGGGTTCGAATCCCATTGTGGAACGTGAAGATTTTCGGATTAGACTATGTAAATCATATAGGGTACCAGTTTTGATGCACCAGATGCGCATTTCGACAAATTATGTCTCTTCAGTGATGCTCAAGCCGAAACGTTGGAAATCCAAAATATATAAATAAAAAAGACTTGGAAGAGCTGAAAAAGATGCCAAAATCTGGAGCTAAAACTATATTAACCGAAGTCCCGTGTCACAATAGGTGCTGGCACGAAAAATATCCCTCACTGTTTATGGGCCGTACAGTACAGGTCTAATTTTGCAGCACTCCACCGGCAAGTGGTAGCGTCTCAAAACAAGTGAAACATTCTTGAAGGACTGTTAATCAAACAAACAAATCAACCACGAAATCAAATCAAATCCTCTCAGATCAATATTTTTTCCTCAAAGTATGAAAAATTGACCCTCAAAATGAGGTATATTGCTTAAATGTTATTTTTGTTATCATATTTTTCCTGGTTGCATTTCTATTTTATTGATGGAAAAGCATTTAAAATTATATAATTTATAATATTTTTTCCTGGTTGCATTTCTTTTTTATAAATGGAAAAGCATTTATAATAAAATAACAGTTTTGGAAAGGGAATAAACATACATAAACACATCCTAGTTCATATGCACTATGATTATTTACTGAAATGTGAGAATTGGGTTTTTTCTGATAACAGTACATTTAAATATGAATTTAAGTTTTTTCTTGTACAATGGATTCGAATATAGCAAAGCCGATTTTGTTGTATAAAGTCATATTTAAAAAAATACAACAGACTTCTAACTTACCTGATACAAACAAATACTAGTAACACAAAGATGTCAACAGCAAAGGCCAAATAAAAGATCTGTGACAAACAATATTGTCAGGTAATGTGGTCAATGGCCCTTGGTCCAAGGGTTTATTCTACAAAACATATTCAATTATAGTAAAGTGAAAGTGGTGATGTACAAAGAAACCGATAGATATAAAAATGAAGACCAAGAAAAAGCTGTGAAAAAGAAAAAATACAGATCACCAATAATGATGAAGTATAGAGTGTGGTAAATGAGGAAGCAAAGGACATCATATTAGAGTTTAAAAAATACAGTAAAATTTCTTAATACTTTCAAGAGAAGTTTGAATATTTTACTTTTTTAAAACTTTTTCCTTTCTTTTTTTCTTAAAAAAATTGCCTTTTTAGATGTGTATATCACATATTGGTAGTTTCATTGCATAATTACTCTATGCAAAGCCGTTGAATACATGTTGTTAAAATGGGCATTTAATCAAATAAACCAATTTTGGTTTCAGTTAAGCGAAGAAAAAAGTTGCAGCAAGCAAAGAAACAACTAGATAGTAAAATTGCCAGGCAAAGAAATAGTTATAACCAAGAAAAAAGCCGTAATTTAAAAAAAAAAAATAGCACTACAAAGAAACGAAGAACTTTTGATTTTTCTCTATGTGTAATTTTTAGTGTAAAGTATGGAGGACGAAAAGATTAACGTGACTGGATTTTTTTTTTTCAAGTTCCAGTATGTTTAGAAACATGGACTAAATTCTTCATGGGCTTTTTTATCATTATTTGAATAAAAATCATATTTCCGAATTCTTTGGGGGAAAATGAATAAATCTACCTAATACTGCGTGTTTAAGTTACAAAATCGATCATACTATCTTACAATCGAACTTGACATTGAATGTTTTAACAAATTCGTTAAGAAATGAAATAAGATATATATGAATAATCTTTTTATGTGTAGGAAAGCTTAATTTGGTGATTACGGTGCAATTAAATATCCCTTTTAGTTTAACGTATAAAGGAATAAATTCATGCTAAAACAGTGAATTTGTTCTAGCTTGTCTTTGACAAATTTTATTCTAGTTACTTCGGTAAATCTAATAAATGATCAAAGAAATGAAATATATATATATATATATATATATATATATATATATATATATATATATATATATATATATATATATATATATATATATATATATATATATATATATTAGTATGCAATCAATATAATTTGTCAGCTAAATATGGATTTATTTCCTGTGTATCTGGCGGGTCACGATATGGAATTTTATCAAGGGGTAGCTTTTTCTCTGACCAACGTTCATCTTCAAAATGAAGCTACTTTATATAATACCTATTATAATACTTGTTATAAATTTACATGTATTTATGTTATGAATACGTATATACCGTATATTTGCTAAACATTTCAAAAATGTTTCCTTACAATTTGGGATTTTTTTTTTTTTTTTTTTTTTTTTTTTTTTTTTGTAAATGTTTTTCTTTCATTAAAAATTTATACTTCAAACTATTTAAAATGTTTTCAAATATAATAAAATAAAAATGTAATCTTTTTATCTTGTCAACAATATAATCTTGACATAAAACACCTCTGCGCTTGAATTACTGATATATGTGTATTATCAGATAATATCTGACTGGGGGTTAAGAAGTATGTATTCCCATTTAGATGCCCAAATGGGGCTAGTCCATACTTTCAGAAGTAAATTGAATCATCGTCTATTACGATTATCAAATTCTTATATCGAAAAGTTTTTTCACTTAAATTAAGATACAACCGTAAAATATAACAAGACAAATATTCTTTATTATAAAGACATTTTATAACTAGTTCGTGTAATTTTTTGTTTCATTTTTTCAATTACCTTCTTGTGGGCGAAAGAATGTGATGACTAACCTGCAATAAAGATATTTTTGCTGTACCCATCCTCCATCCATGTCTGTGGATTTACAATTTGAGCATTGATATTTTTTTAATTCTAAACTCGGTATTAAGATCAATAAGAACATCAATAATGAAGAAGAGCTAAACCCTTTTCTTCAGTTTGACTTGTTCTAAGAAACCAATGCTTTCAAGATAGTTTGCTATGTTCAAGAATCCAAGTACAGTTTTTACCACTAGTATTGAGAATAGATGATGATATGGTGAAAACTTTTTGATCTTTGTACAAGACATCGTCAGAAACCACGGCCAAAATTTTCGATCCTCTCCCATTCTGGATACAGTTATTCAAGGACTCGAGACCATGGCTTGAGACAATGGGTACAAGGCTACATGAAACTCTTTTAACGGTACCCCCACAAAAGTGAA